CCTATTGAGAACACAAATAACACAATATGTTTTTGGCTGTAATTATGGGACGGACATTTTTCAACTTATCTTGAGTCAGGCTAGATTTTTTTCATAGATACCTTTGAATGGATACTTTTGGATTCCTCTTTTTGTATTATCACGACGTAGGAGGTTTAGTCGGGGCTACCTAATCCGTGAAACATACGCCCAACCTTTGTGGTACATGCAGCCTACTTATCGCCTTCAAATAGACTGGAACGTTACTTACATTGTTGCTAGATCAATATTTTCTAACTGTACAACGTGTATCATAACTGTACATGAAATGTTTTCTACATTTTTGCGTAATTTGAAGTCAAATAATGTTCATATTCCACCAATTATGGATCAATCAAACGAGTTTACAATTTGAATGGATAAAATGCTCAGAAATATCGTATTTCTTCGATGAGCAGTTTTTGGAACGTTACCAGTGATGGAAGAAAACGTGTGACTGGCATATTCAACATGGACAACATCGAAGTTGTTCGAAATGATCACGAAAATCATACCAGGGGTCTTTTATGCAATATACGTAGAAAATGTTGAGATGTTCTAGTCAAAGATATTTTGACTAGAATTTTAATTATTTACTGGAAAGACTAGGTGATAATGATCCATCGCTATATCAAGTAAAATTCTAGTCGAAACAATTAAAATTGCCTTGGAGTCGGGAATCCATTGAAGATGAAAATTTACCATGAATCTGGCAAACCTCTTGAGGCAAGAACAAAGAATCAATAAAGAAAATTGAACAGTTGATGTTGAAAGACCGAAATTAAAGTGTCGGTGATTGTACGGGAAGTTCAGGTATCAGAAACAACAGTTTGGAAACTTTTACATGAAGATTTGGGTATGAGGAAAGTGTCAGCGAGATGGCTTCCGATGTTCCTGACGGAAACATGTCAAACGAGAAAAATTTTTTCGCGAACTTTGCGAAAATTATTAACTAACAATAAAATCGGGGTATGTCCTAGGACCACTTAACGAAACAAAAGTCAATGCAAGTTGTGCATAAAATGACATATAAAAGACAGAAAATTGATGGCAACGGTTTTCTCGAACTGAGAGGGTTATTATGAAGGACAGACACTACAGTTGTACTAGTGATGTTTAAAAACGTCAAACAGAAAAATCATAAAACTGCTATCTTAGCGAAAATACCTCAAAATCGTGTCAAAAAAACTTGGCTGTTGGACGACAATTACATAGTGGATTTCAAAGGGTTTCCAGGCTTTCAAAGTTTGAGAAGTTATCGAGGAATGTGGTTTCCGGGAGTTGACACATCCACCCTATAGTCCGATCTAGCAACCAGTGATTTACATATTTTCCTTAATTTGATAGAATAGTAATGGAGACGTAGATTATCTTCTGCTGATGATTGCTGAAATTGCCATTAATGACTATTATTTTGGTAAATAATTCCAAAATAATGTTTTTGAAGAGTTGAAAATAGAAAATTGAAAAAAAAAAATTGTTTCGTTGCTCTGTCTTGTCTCAGTACCAGGTATTTTACATAAAAAAAACTCCCCTCGCAACTCGTATACGTAAAGCGAGAATCGAAATGGAAACTGTACTGCGTAGTTGCTCAGTCCGACCAACCCTCGTGAAACAACCCTAACTCCAACTACGATCTTTAATACCAGCAACACCCTAAAGGGAACAAAATGTACCTCGAAGTTTAAAATTTTCCCTAATTCGGATAGGACTCGAAGCTGTTTTCCCCATTAATTTCCTTTAGAGGGGGAACAAACTTCAAAATGACCCAAAAATATATTCCCGACCCTCATCCTTCCATAAACCGGCAAAAACTCCGCCGCGGCGCAAAAACCCCCGCTAAAAAACACCCCCCTACAAGCTAAAAAAGAGATCGCCCGGCAGTTGTGTAGAGTATTCTAAAATAAAATCCAGCAACCCGAGAACTGTGCTCGCAGTTTGTTTTTGCCCGCTTCAAGTGGGAGTGGGGAAGCGTGGGCGCGTTGCCATGACTACGTACCAATGGGAGGTCGGATCGCCCCACCACCGGCCGAAAGTTCGGGTTTTTCTAGGGAGACTGTATGAAATGTTAATATAATTTTTTTTGACGGCGTTCGCGTGGTCTTATGTTTATTCTTAAATTTTGTATCGCGCGGTAATTTATTTAATTATGCGATGGGACGATTTTGGCGACGAAATTGCGAATGCCGTATAGCAACTGACGCCCTTGCGACGAGGAGAATCCGCGCACACGGGGCGGGCCCTGGAAATATCTGATATCAATACCCGGCGATCCCCCACCACCGCCGTAAAACAAAAAAACACGTGGCTGAAGCTCTAATACAATTATCAGTTATTTTGTTTGTACACCTATTGTCGAGATATTATTCGGGAAAAAGTAACGCGAATTAGATATGTATGTGCCTATGTTTTTTGTATTAGACCCTATCTAAAATTAAAGGTTCCCTCGAAATTTCACTGTTTTGCAAAAATAAAAAATATTCGTCCTTTGAGAAATTTTGGGTCATTTTATACAGGGCGTTTCAAACCGATTTATGCAAGCTATAACTCACATACTAATAAAGATCATAAATATCGGAGTGCAACAAGAGATGCCAACTTCTTTGTTAGCCGCCATTAAAATCATAATAAAAATTAAATATTAAAAATTAATAAAAATTATATAAAAAAAAATTATATTAATAAAAATAAATAAATTATTATTATTAATTAAAATAGTTATTCATAACTTTTCGCTCAACAAACAATACTGATAGGAGATTTCTAATAATTCTTTGTAAATGGACATTATTCTTATAACTAATATCCCTGATAGTGCCAGAAGGCGTTTCAAGTCAATTTTGCCGCCAAACACTGGGTTTTGACTTTTTGGGTCACTCTTTTAACCGGCTTTGCTTTCCCCTTTTGGGGGGGACCCCTTTTTGGAGAACTTCCTTTACCTTTTTCGTTGGAGGGTCCCAGTGATACACTCAGCTTTCGAACAAAATCGCAGTGTCGGGTTAACACATCCAAATTATTTGTACAACTCCTCTGCTATCTTTTAGTTCTGGTGAGAGGAATCTTGCACATATGTACATACTGCTTTCATCAACACTTTTCTCATCCCTAAATATTCACGTAAAATTTTCCAAATGATCATATCTGATAACTGAACTTCCCACGCCATAACCAAAACTTGAATTATTCAACCCTTCAAAACGAACTCTTCAGTTTTCTTTACTGTTTCGTGTGTTCCTGGTTCAAGATGGAACATTCCCATCATATACAGTTCAGGGATAGTTTTTGGGTTAATTCGCTTCTATGTTTAAGTTTTTAATTCATCCATTTTTTGCTATTTCATCCTCCACAAAAATTACAAAAATATTTCGATTTCAACTCTAGCTGGTCAACTAATAAATTTGACACTACTTGCCGTTTATATGTAAATCATGGAGATTTATTATTGCTTTCATCACTAACTAGATTGTATAAGAAATCTACCTCGTATATACAGTGTACGCCAAAAAGTCTGAACCGTGAGGTATATTTTTGAGGATCATTTTTTTTATTGGGTTCACCATTAATCTCTGCAACAATTTTAACTAAGAAAGAGCTTTGGTTTAACAAATTAATTGACAATAGCTGAGTTACCTCACCTCACTTCAGTAGTTGACTCTTCAGGATGTTGTTCAAATAGAACGTGACACTAACTGAGAAAACGTTAACTGAGTTGAGGAACTGAGGATTTCGTGCAAATCGTAAGCACTTAAAGATTGAAGATCGTTGGTTTAACAAATTGACAACTCCTCCAACAATGGCATTTCGATCACCATAAAATACCGTTATTATTTAAAACATAGAAAAACATTGAAACATTGTATTTGCGTTAAAATGTTACGTATAGTTTCATACAAAAAATTCCACCTTTTTTTTCTTTTCTTAAAAAAAAAAACACTTGCACGTTTCTTAATTTTGAATTGAGTGTGTATTTTTGTGTTGCTAATACAAAATACTGCTTTATTTTTAGGAACTTTTTTTTAACAGTCATGCATTTACCACCCTGTGTTTAAAAGCGAATATCTCAGTAGGGGGTGCGAATATCTCAGTAAAAAAATTATAAGGACTTATACCTAGTGTTATTTTGATCAAACTTAACGCTCCCGACAGATTTTCTACATGTATGGGACACCCTGTATATATAGTAAATTATTACAAAGTAAATACTATACCGAAATACATACTACATATGTATGTAATTTATTCGAGACATAATAAAGGGATAAATCGATATGTTAAACTAATTATGAATCGTAGATCCGCGCGTTACCATTCAAACAAGTGACGAATAAACGTCATTCACTTCTAAACTTCCAAAGTAGCGCCTCATAGCATCGTTCGACCGAACGACAAATCGTTTTTTTATATTTATATGCGATTGCTGGCTACGCCAGTTACTTCATGCCGGCGCTCGAGAAAAGTTCATCGAGTTGGCCTTCTTTTTAACGAAGCACGCCAAGCGAGACGGTTCGGGCGCGCTCGGCTCGCCGCCGACGCGCGTCGGCCGCGTTTGACTGGTACGATCTTGGCCTGAATTGTTCTATCTTATCGCGGGCCGGGGGCCCAGGCAAGGGGGAGCGCGCGTTAGGTCGAATTTGGCTCGGCGTAGCGACGCCATTGTGAGCCTTATAAGCGAGCGCGTTGCGTGAATGTATCCGCGGTAAAACAAACATCATTCCAACTTTCTTAGACAGTGGCGGCGCAAAGTGGGACCGCCCCATGCAAAAATGGTTTTTACGAATACCTTCCTCGAGTAAAAATTAGTTTTACTATAATTTAGATAAGTTGAATTTTTCTTTGTCTGAATATTTTGTTGCTCGAAGCTGTCGCCATTATTATAGACTCTAGACAACCGCAAAGTTTACCTTTTCGGTTACTCGGAAACCAAACTTGCGGGCATGTCGCAAACGAATTATGAAAACAAGCTACACAGTATGAAATAACGAGCCATAACCTCGGCAATAGCTCAGTGGGTAAAGCACCAGGTGAGAAGATGGCGATTATTCCGAGAGCTATTATCCGCTCGGGTTCGAATCCCGCTTGTGGCAATTGGCACCTGTCACAGGGTTTGGTTGTGTGTCCTACATCTTTTTCATGTGTAGTCTCCCTCTGCACAGTTGTAATGACTCTTAGAGGGAGAATGTCAATTTGTGTGTGATGTTATTATTATTATAAAAAATGTCATCAAAGTTAGCCGAGCAAAAAAAATTACGTCTTAAATGTATTACCTCATTTAATTGTCAAGGCTGTTACATCATGTGACAGCCATTATTTATTTTACAATTGTGACAGCCACTTGTCAAAAGTTTGACGAGAAATTTCGTTCGATTCTGTTATGGAAGATGATGACTTATGATGGATAATTTTAATATTTGTACTTTAAATATAGAACATCCAAAATAACGTCATCAACTCTGGCTATGAACGAGAGAGATGGAAATAGCGGTCATCAGGTTATGAACTTTTGACAGTACTTTGAAACAATGGCGTATATGAAGTGAGGGTTATAAGTATTCGATTAAGAATGGAAATACGTCTTTTTTTCCTCGGCCAACTTTGATGACGTTTTTTTTAATGTTAAGAATAAAATTAAATAATTTCAAATTTTAGAAATGTATAAAAAAAAAAATATTGAGTGATTGACTATTTTCTCTTACACCAGAATATATGAATTCAAAATAAAGAGAAAAAATTTTATTTTAATTTAGTTTATAACTTATTTATTTTAAGTTTGTATTATTAATATTATTTATTTTACAACGTGAAGAATGGAAATTTGACAAAAAGTTTCGTTAGTGACCGTTTATAGTCAGATTTCATGACGTTTGAATAGCTTATTACTTTTGGACGGATTCCGAACACGGAAACGGATTTCGTTATAAATGGTTTGCAGACTATCATTTTTGTAATGAATGGCTGTTAATGAAAATTTTAAAAAAAAATTGGCGTTTTTTGATCATTTCGTGGAAGTTCCAATGGTCAATTATTGTATCATTTTTTGTTGCTGGCTAACAAATTAACGCATGTCAAATACTTCATCAAATTAAACTATATAGAATTTCGATAGTCATAATGACTTATGATATACGAGTATTTGACGTCCTCTACAACGCATATGAACCAGCCGCCACTGGTTATTTCAAACTGTTATAATAAGGTTTAGTGGAAATTTGAAATGTTTCTCAACCACTTGTTTACTTCTACGTTTAAATTAGGCGCGCTACTTCATCTCGCGTCATGTAACTGATAATGAGCTCAATGCTGTCGCGATAATATTTTACTCTCAGATGATAACAGTAATTTTAAATATATTGAACACTTCACTCTGCGACAAACGCTGGTCACGTTACAGTCATTAACTCGCATGAAAAAGTCATTTAAATTACTGTCTAAAACTAGTAGGCAAGTCTGGTTATCATAGAAAAAAATAATGCATTTATTCGTAATCGTAACTAAAACAGATTCAAGTAACGTTCGATCCAAAAACCACAGTATCGGTTTTTAACCGTGCTGGGTCGTGGAGAAAGACAAGTCACATGCAACTTTAATCATAACCTAAAATAGAACGACGCGTTCTTAATAGTCTTGGTGAGTTCGACCTTACATTCGAACCGTACAAAGCTAGTTCGAACGAGGTTAAATTTTACATGGAACATCATAACGGCACGTCTTGTCACGGCATATCTCATCGGACGCTCTCTCTAGGACTGGCCCGACACCACGTGGCCGATCACTGAAACACAGACACGTCACGTGTCCCAGCTATTTTCTCCACAGGTTGGTTAAAAAAACAGAGTGAACTGAGTGGTAGTAGACGAAAAACGTCGCATTCGTTCTGGTTAACACACATACATACGTACATATGTATGTATGTATGTACGGACGGAACGTATACAGAGTGTTTCTCACGTCTAGATGCACTTAAATCTCTAAGTGATCTAATATTACGTGGATGCGCTGATAAAATATGTATACAAGGGGTTTTCAACAAAGAATATTCGAAATCACTATACTTAAGTATTATCTACGAAACTCTTAAGGCGCGGATAGTAATATTCAAGTAGGATTCTTTCATTTTTCAAAACGATAAATGTCACGAATTATTTAGTATATGAGACGTCAGTGGCGGCTCGTGGGCGTGTTACATGGGTGGGCACAGGGTGTGTCAGTAGGATTACTAATTAGCTACCAATGGCGCCGCAGGTGAAAATTTTAAAAATTTTCAAGGTCATGCGTTTTACTGACACTTCAGAATTTCAATGAAAAATTCTTTTTATACAAAAATATAGACTTTCACAAGAATAATTTTTGGGATTTGGTAGCTTTGTGAAATAATATTTAGTCACTCAATAATATTTGAGGGCTTAAATATATTAAAATAATGGGTGGCAACATGTGAAAAAAAATTTGATATAGGTATCTTACAAAAATGTTAATCGCCTTTTCATTAAAGTCCCGGATTTGTTTCACAAAATTTAATACAATTAATTATTTGGTTTAAAATATGTCTGTTTTTATCCACGTTTTCATTGTGACGTCTTATATTTTCACGATAAGCACTATCAAGCTGTTGCCTTATGTCTACCTTTCCCAACACACTAAAATCTAAGGTGTTATGTAAACGTTTTTCATTGTAGCTAGCATGTTTCTTAGATCGTTCATTTAAATGTTTTAAATCACTCACCCCTTCTTGAGTCCATGCACTTCGGTTGCCACCCATCACTAAACAAATAAAACAAAACAGTTTTTTTGTTTTAGGACACATAACCACTTAAATCTGTCGTAGACACTACTATTAAAATTTCGTGAATAATTTCGCGATTTTCCTACGTCTGTTTTGGAAATAATCAAATCGGGTATCGGCCTTCCTAACCGTTTAATTTCGTTCGGATCTCGTATGTAATATCTTTATTAGTCAATAAAAAGTCCACCGAATTTATTTTGAAACGTTTCACAATAAAAAACAGTAAAAAACACACTTCTCAGCGAAGAAAATAAACAATAAAACTAAAAACGGTCACTCAACAAGTGTGACCCGTTCAGCTGATGTTCGACCGATTTAACGACGTTTTGTCTGCAATGGTCGCCAAACTTTACCAGTCACCGAAAAAGCCCGATTAAAAGCGAGGGTGGGAAATTGTGTGCCCTCGCCCGCGCGCGCGAAATGCGGAATTCAGACTACGGTGGCTCGGTGCTCGATCGATAGTCTGTCATATAGTATATGTGATAAAAATCATTATTTGTGGTATAAAAGGAATAATAATTAGAATATGAATAGTTTGTCGTATACAATTAATTTATATTATTATAACAGTAATTTATAGTAAATTAACACAAAATAAATATTTTCTATTGAAATTTGGGCTGAGCACGTGCCTCTGTGCCCTTTATCACCAGCCGCCACTGTGGGACGTATAAAATGAACAGCAAAGGTATGCCATTAAATTTTGGGTTCGTTTGGGAAAATCAGCAACCGAAACTTTGGTCTTTGGTAAGAGATGTGTTGGATATATCTTGCAACCAGTGGCGGTGCGTGATATTTCAGTTAGCCATATCTTGAAAACGACGCATGGGACCCACTTCACTTTTTAGGTGATGACTATACACCTCTTACAGAAAGGATTTATAGTGAAAAAAACCGTAAGCAAAGTTTGCGAAAAAATTTTCAAAAACACTGGAGCACTCCCTGGGTTCTCAGTAACGCTCTGTGGAATATTTGCAGTATATTTTTTTTCATAATCTAGAAACAAATATAAGGAGACGTTTTTCGATTTGTTACAAAATATTTTTGTTTCAAACGTTTTCTTTCAAATTTCTGACACGTTGGAATCAAATACCAATTAGACCCTTCAGCCATACAGCGAAACCAATATCCCCAAGCGAAAGCCCAGACCTAAGTCCGGGCTCTAAGCTACTCTTCTATTTGTTTTAAGCGTAAAATCATGGGTAATTGCTTAGTGATCAATTGTGAAAACAGAAGTGACTGTGTGTGTGACCTGAGACAAAGCATTTCTTTATTTCGGTAAGTAAAAATGTAATTTAATATCTACTGCATACAGTCGGGTTTTCGTCTGATTCGTATTCTTTGGTAATTCCAAAGTAAGCTTACAGTTCATGTGACCTCGTGAGTTTATTTTATCGCGTTGCTACTGAATAGCGGTAAAATTTAAGTTAAAGTTGTGGACTTGTTTAAAAAAGTGGACTTGTTTAAGAAGTAGGGGCTTGTATTTCCTTCAGTACATCCCAACCCCGAAATTTGTGGACATTTGTTCTCATATGGGAAATACATACAACCGCGATTGGTGTAGTTAGTCTACGGTTGGAGTAAGTTAAAAGACGCCAGTAAGGACAGACAATGACAGTTAGATGCCACATTGTTTCACGCTTGTGCATGTATTAGAAACGTATAAGATATGCGCGTAATATAAATTGGAGTAGGGTATTACCTACACGCCTATCGCCGAATTTGAATGGAACTCAGTACTTTTTTCGCAGCTATGGATGTGTACATTGACTTAGCTGTATGAAACGAAATTCTTACGTAATTTTGACGTTTACAATTACCCCATACACTTAAAAGAAGTGTACGAACATAATTGTATTTATTTTCAAATTTTTGTATTCCTTAACTAACCGGTCTGCAAGAAAATAAAATTTAAGTTCTATAAAAAAATAAAAAAATATAAATATAAATCAACTCGGTTATAAGACGAAAGAAAGAAAAAAATGCCCGTTGAATAAGTGGTTCAAAAATGTCGCCCCTTTGTGCTTCGCAAAAACCTAGTCTATTGTAAAACTCAGTTATTACGCGTTCTAACTTCTAACACTTCAGGGGAAATATTATTTAGGACTTCTATTCTGGCCCGTAAATCATTTAAATTTCGTGGTCTTTCATGTCCATGTCCGTAAACAGTTTGTTTTATTTATTAAATATTTGTTGGCATTTAAGGAACCGTTTATAAAAAATGGGCCAACGATGGAATCGCTTAAAATACCAACCCAAACATTTAACTTCTCGGGATACTGCGTAGTGCGTACGCACAGGAAT